CTACTATGGACTTAAGCGATGTGAACACATCCACTATGTGCCCCTCCAAAAGCATACCACCATTAAACATTAAGACTTTATGTACCGTGGTCGGAAGGCCTAAAAACCCTAATTAGAGCCAAACATCCGGACAGTTTTTTCCGTCACTGTATATCACCGACCAGGCTTGGGATGTATTGGTGCGCTCTATCTAGCGTAATCCTGCTGTAATCCCTTAAAGCCAATAGCCTCGCGTGGCTATACGCAGGGTGATTCTATCTTCTAGAAGGGTCTATTCCCTTAGGATAAGATAAACCTGGTTACCTGATGTACTCTGGAAGTATAAAAGCGCCTTGTACTGATCGATAGTGCAACCTTTCCTCGACACCTTCGATCCTGTGACACGTCAGTTCTGGAGGAACACTCCCTGTGACATTCCGAGAAGTTCACTGTTCGCCACGACTCTTGGAGTTGCGCGGGAATGTGCGGAGCTTCGACCGACGACATCCCTTCGATGGAGATTCGACGCTTCAGATCGACCGAGGCGAAAACGAGATCTGCTGAGTGAGTTCGAGTTTCAGCGCGAATGGGAACGGGACCTCGAAAACCGCGAAATTCTTCGGAGCGTCCGATCGTTCGACAGCCGACATCGATGACCGAGAACTGCTGCAGAAAACGAGTCCACCCGGGCACCGAAAGCTGCTGAACGAGACTCAGGAATCTCTTCAGATCGCTTAGAGTTTGGACCGTCGGCTCGACTTCTGCATCAACGGACGAGATGGAGCGCGACTTCTGCTTAAAGGGAGAATGACGCGGAGAACAAAACCTCAGCCACCTTCGATACCATCTGGACAATCAAATTCGGATTCCTCCATTTGGTCACGAATTTGGCGCGCAGATCATCTGCAGAGTCATAAATCTGCCTAAGAATGACCTATATGGTAATATCTGCAAGCAGAAAACTGACAGGAGAGCGTGGATCGTCGGATCGATGCGGAATCAACGGCATGAATGCAGCGGAGACTACACTATGGGAGAACATCATGATGGAGACAACATTCGTGACCAGGGACTGCACAATCAACGCATCTTCTAACTAGTCTTGATAATGATACGATATATTTTGACGAAGTCATCTTCGTAAAAAATGGATCGACATCAACACCGCGAGATCTTCACCCAGGGAAAAAATGGAGCTGCGTGAAGACATTTTCTCCATCAATGAGATACTTCATCTCATAAATTTGATCGACAACCTATGGGATTGCAGAGAAGTAGTTGTTTTCTCTCGCAATGCTCCCAAGTGTAAGTTGCTACGAAGGAGTAGATTTCGCACGCAACGACGACGCAGTGAACCCGTCTCGTCAAGGCCAGCGAGTCACTACTTTGTAACAGGAGCTGAACGATTCGTCTTCATCAAGAATCTCAGCCATCCGAAATGATTGATTGGAGCAGTCTCAACATGGACCTCACGAGGCGACACACCAATCATGCGTCGCGATTCCAGGTGTTGATGGCCTGCGTGGAAAAACATTCCGTGCACGTTACGATGCTTGACAGATTGAGGAGTAATTAACCTCTAATTTGGCAAGTATTCGTTCACTAGCGACCCTACAGTACATGCGTTGGAGGCGATTCTACCAGAAGCCGAAGCGTTACAAGCATCAGCGTAACTTCGACGATAAAGGAGAACGCCAAGCAACACAAGGTGTCAACAAATGAGGGAGATGCGGACTACTACAATACGATCACGTGCTCTACCGACCGTACATCGGAGGCACGGATGAGCATACCAGGAATTGCTACCCGTGGATACATTGAGGGGAAAAGCAAATTCCTCTTCACACCCTCAAATGAAACCATCACCAGCAGCAATGGAGCAACCCATGCGTACCAATGTGCACGTGTTCCTGGTACTTACACCTGTTACACCCATCAGGAACACTCTACTAGGAAGAGAGAGTTGATGGATTCTCCTTCAACTAGTACGAGTTGAGAGAATTCTCTGCAGCAACTGCCGCCGTCGCCATCGTCGCTACCGCCGCCGTAGCCGCAACAGAAGACTCGACACAAGAGTCATATCCAAACCCTGATGGATGATTCTCCGCTCAATGGAGATAACGCTGGATTATATTCCAGTACGATCGTAAAGTCCTGGTCAGGCACAATACTATGATTTCAAGCTAGTGGGAAGGAGATACCACTATGCATCGGAATAGCTATGGCAATGCCATATACCCTCAAGAGCAGTAGATATTTGCTCTTATGAGGATGGGATGACTATGGTACTCTACCGATATACACGTCCTCACGGCCTATGGCTTTCCTTAAATTCAGAAAACCTGTGTCACAACCAATCCATCACCAGCACCAACTCCACGGAAGCAGATAGGCGTGAAATGGAGCGCCGACGCCACTCCGGATAGTGGAATCCGCATATCTCCAACAACACCCCTATTTGCCGACATGGAGCAGACTTTAGTACCGATGCTGAGTAGCTGAGACGTCTTCCACATCAACGCTACTTCAAGGAGAGTAACAGAATGAGACAGCACATGATGGCACCAGAAGACCTATCCCAATATATGCGCCCAGACACCGATGCCTACCGATGGCCTCCGTGCTAAACTGGAAGTGCATAAGGTCATACTAGATTGGCTGTCACCAATGCCCATTTGGAAATAGGAGAGGATTATTTGGGAATAGCCCTAACATTCCCAGATGTCCTAACCCATCACCGTGGGATATCTACGCAGCAGAGATTCCTTGCTTGAGCAACCACCGAGGGAAACTACCTTGGCGCCAATTTTGGAAGTTACCAGCTCCGCTTTTATGGTACCAACCCCTCGCATGGTTTTGAAGACAAGGGATACGCTGAGCAGCACTAGGGATACGTTGTTGTACTCAAGGCAGTATGACTAGCAAACCGCGTGGTGGACAAAGTTACTACTAGTGATTCTGCTCTCCAATCCCGCAGCACTCCGATGCCGAGAGGGTACAACTTGCGACAACACTACGGCATGGATCATCATTCGACAGAAGCTGCATGTATCGGATACGACGCTGCTACAGAAGCAGGACTATGACACGATTGCAATACCACCAACACTGAGTCATCTTCAGACGTGGAGAGGATGCGCGTAACACCGGGACGTGCTACCCGAGACTCAACACATGCTACAATGTGCCAGCTAGAGCACCCACCGAAAGGACAGTGGATCTACTCTTCCGCTACAACATCTCGATCACGATCAACGCCATCTGCGTACCACCTACAGACGCAACCCGCTCACACCACAACTCCCGACAAATCCATTTCATCTCCGTTGTCCATCAGCTCTATCACCAGACACGCCACTTGAACATCTAATAGCAGCAGAAGTACCTGGCTGCTCATCACTACAGTTATCCACACCGTAATCTTGACATCAGCCATCTTCCATCCAAGCTTCAAACTTGCTTCTGTGGGAACACTTCAATCAGCTTCCGCTTCCACCTACCAGCCACTTGGAAGATCCATAACGCCTTCCATCCCAGCTTCTAAACCCCTATCAAGGCCAAACACGCTCTACACTGAATGCCAACCACTGTCGCCACCCGTGTTCGTCCACGCCATGGGACAACTATATGCTCGGACACCGTCGTCGTCAGAATGGCACTCTGGAGCTTCTTCTTTGCTTCTTCTTGATGCGGAAAACCCACTTGCCCGATACTATATTATTCCCTTGGGCAGATGCTTTGGGGACAAGTTTCCAAAAACTGCGTTGCTCGAGTCCATCCATTGCTGCCGTCTACTTGATAGCATCGGGGCCAGAGGGAGCTTGCTTAACACTTTTGGGATCGATCCCTGCGTTGGTTTTTGTACACAGCAACGAGGCTAAGAATTGGAGAGTAGATTGAATAGCACGTGGATGTTCTTTACTGCGTACTACGGCCACATCGTTATCCGTGATTCTAGTTAGGATATGACGTTCTCCCTCGTGTGAAGCTGCATCTATTCACCACTGACGAAGCTGTGGTTGGAGTATTTGAACCGAAGAGGTTTCAACAAGGCTCCGTACAATGATTGAAACGTTATGTATTGGCTGACGTGGCTGGCGTTGAAGCCGAGGGACCAACTGTTGTGTTTGGAGGAGGATAATATTCCTCTGCTCCGTCAGCTTTATCCTTTGGGGTGGTACAGCTTCGTTCGTCATTGTAGCAAGCACGGTTATGCGGCACTTGTTCTTCGTCTTGTTCGGAGTCATCCGGGAACAACTTCTCGTAGAAGATGAAGTTACATTTTTTTTTTCCCCGTTTCGTAGTCCATGGAAATCAATATGTAGGAATTTTTAGAAACAGTGAGGTGTACTCCCCATCGAGCACGTTCGGTAAATCTGCCCACTATTGCACTCGGAGGGCGATATTGAACCATGCAGCCCCACACACATAAAAGACGGGTGTCAACAGGCTGCTTTGTCCACATCACGTGAGCAGAGTTCAAACGTGGCAGGATTATCGAGGACAGCAAGTTGTGTAGCCTGCGCCCCGTAACCGATGGCGAGAACATCAGATGGATCGTGGTCGATAGGGTTACCAACCACGGCGGGGTGTGTTGTGTCATGGACCCAAGACTTAAAGCCATGTGTGGAAAGCACCAGGCGTGGGAGGGGAGCGGGGAGGGGGGAGGAGAAAGAGGAGAGGAGGGAAGTGGTAAGGGAGGGGGGGAGGTGGGGCTGTGTGAGATTGAGGCATTACAGGAGACGTTTGAGTGGTTTCTGCGGCTTGGGATGCGGTGCAGTCTCAAGCAGGCGCAGAACCGGCCCGACATGCAGTAAGTGCTCAAAGAACTGGAAGCAATCAAGAGGCGGCTGAGCGGCACCTCTGCTTCTCGAGGTGCCGGCGGCGCTGGTGGTGGTAATGGTGGGAATGGAAGGGCGCGGGACAATTGGGATGTGTTTAATTGGGAGGCGGGGGGGGCGGCGAGTGCAGCCAAGGCACGGGCAAGTAACAAGTTCTGGGCTGAAATTGCTGCCTCGGCATCAAGAGGAGGCCCGAGTGGGTATGCGGAGCGAGGGGACGGAGAGGAGGGGGAGGAGGAGAACTTGTGGCTTAAGGATCTGCTGAGTAGGCAGAGAGGAGGGCAGGGGGGGATGGGGGGAGTCGGAGGGGGAGGGGGAGGGGGAGGCGGAGGGGAAGGTGCAGGGGATGGGGAGAATACCTCGGGCAGCAGCAGTGGGAGTGTGTGGAGGGGAACGATGGGGGGCACTCTCGCCAGTGCCGGCGACGGGGTGACCGTGACTTTCAGCGGCACTGGCGTGCAGTCTGAGGTGATTCTCAGGTGACAGGGGAGGAAGGGAGGGCAGGGACAGGGGTTGCGCGACAACACGGGCAGCAGCAGTGGGAGTGTGTGGCAGAATTGCTGCCGATGGGGTGACTGTGACTTTCAGTGCACTGGCAAGAAGTCTGACGTCATTCCCAGGTGAAAATGGAGTGGGGAGGAGGTGAGGGGGTAAGGAGGGGCATAGGGAAAGGCGATGGGGTGACTGACTTTCAGCAGCACTGTCGTGCAGTCTGAAGCGGGCCCTCAGATTTCGGGATGTTTGATCCTGAATTCCTGATTTGAAGGATGCCTGTTAGGTGCCCATCCTGGAAAATCGGCGTAATGTTATTTTTCACCATGTGAATTCAGTTTTGAACCATAACGCAACACTGAGGATTCAGTAAAGTGTTCGTTCGTGTACCAGCCCTGAGCCATCAGTATGTGTTATGAAGCGCAAAGAGCGTGTGTCGAATAATTGAGTAGCGAGGACAGGAAACGATACGATGAGGCAACATCCAAACAACAGGGTGTTAACGTAAGAACTGAATGATGAACTAGAGGTAGAAACCTAGAACAAATACGAGTTGGTTGTACTCACTAAAAGCATACCCCAGTCTAGCCTATAACTTGTACACAACTAACATGTATAAGTTGACACACCCCCTAGGCTAGACAAGGGGTGAAGCTAAGCAAGAAACAAACAGCTCAGGGTGGCACTACTAGTCCAACCACTGAGGCAGGGGTCTGGAGACCAGTTAGCAAGGGTACAAACAAGACTAAAGCAAGCCAGGGCGGCACTACTAGTCCAGCCACTGGAGGTAAGGCCACAAGGCCAGTCTGACAGGTATATATAATAGAAAGTACACAATCACGATCCTAACAGGTGAGTAGCTACAGGAACAAGACCAAGCTGTACACAGTGCCGCTGATGATCTTTAGGCGCAAGCGCCTTAGTAAAGATATCAGCTGTATTCGCACATGACGCCAAGTGAACTACGCGGGCCTGGCGGCGCTGCTGTAGCTCGCGCAGGAGGAAGTACTGCAGCTGGATATGCTTTGCTCTGCCCTCAAGCCGAGGCTCCTGACACAGGAGTATCATGGCCCTGTTGTCAGCGTACAGGACCGGGGCAGAGCTAGGCCGCTCACCTAAGTCTGTGAGCAAGAAGGTCAGCCAGCGGAGCTACTGTGCCGCCATGGCACCAGCGTAGATCTCAGCCTCACAGCTAGACTGAGCCACAGATGACGAGCGAGTGGATCTCCAAGAGATAACACCCGAACCAAGGCTAAAGCAGTAGCCCTGCGACAACCTGAGCGTCTCAGAGTCGTCTGCCCAAGAAGCGTCTGTGTGCCCAGTAAGGACCACTGGCCTGCGTCCTCCTAGCACTAACCCCATGCCCGATGTACTAGCAAGATAACGCAAAACCCTCTTAGCGGCAGACCTGTGCTGAGGTCGGTGTCTGCCTGTAGCCACAAAGCGAGCCAGGATGCTGAGAGGGTATGCGAGATCTGGGCGAGTGCAAGTCATCACGTACATGAGGCAACCCACCAGCTCTGCGTAGGGGCCACTAGGCTCTACGGGCTCCTCAGGAACGGGAGCGGAGAGCCCATGGTCTACAGGTAGAGGTGTGGGTTGTGCGGAGGAGAACTGAAGACCGAACCTCTGAAGGACCTGACGCACCAAGTGTGACTGTGTCAGAGTGATGGTGTGTGCTGCTCTGTCCCTAGAGATCAGCAGGCCAAGATAGCGACGCAGGTCTCCAAGGTAAGTGCAGGTGTGTCTCTTCAGCAGCTCGGCCTTCACAGAGGCCAGTGCGTCTCTGTCAGCAGTAGCGAAGACCGGATCATCTACGTAGACAAGGATGTAGAACGGAGTCTGGCCGGAACGCACAAACAGCGAGGGGTCAGCAGAGGACGGAAAGAACTGCAGGTCTGCTAACGTGGCCCACAGCGTGTCGTGCCACTCGCGAGGAGCCTGACGCAGGCCGTAAACTGGGCGCTTCAGAAGCCACTGGGTCCCAAGGGGGAAGGTACCAGTGAAGCCTGTGGTCGGCGCAGGTAGACCTGCTCGTGTAGGCTGCCGTGAAGAAAGGCAGTAGAGAAGTCGAGGGAGTGAAGCTCGTAGTCGCGCTCTGCTGCTACGTGTAGCAGCACCCGAAGAGTAGTCATCTTCGGGGTCGGGGCGAAGGTCTGGAAGAAGTCAACCCCCTCGTGCTGACTGAAGCCTCTGGCCACGTAGCGCGCCTTGAAGACAGGCGGCTCTCCAGGGGGGCGCTTCACCTTGAAGAGCCACCGACCATCGACTACGTTCACCCCAGGCGGGGGAACTGCGTCGACGTAAGTGCCGGTGGACCTCCAAGATGCCATCTCCTGCTCCATGGCAGCTATCCACTGAGAGGCCCAAGGTCCCGAGGTGGCCTCAGCGTAGGTGCGAGGGGTCGGGATGTCGAAGGCGTCTGGATCACCCTCAGGGACTAGCAGCATGGAGCAGAGATGGGAAGCAGCCTCGGAGAGGAAAGCAAGCTCGTACTGCCTGTCCTCTAGGACGTTACTGCCAAGGGCAGGAGCACCTCCGACAGACGGAGGACGGGCAGGGTCAGAGACCAGAGCGGTAGCGTAGTCAAGGTGGCGGGTAGAGGCGAAGTCAGCGACAGCAGCGACAAGCGCGTCAAGGCGCGAGATAGGAACAGCAGGGTCGGTAACAAGAGAGGCAAGGACCCGAGGGACAAGGGGACGAGCGGCACGGAGGTAGTCCGAGAACGGAGGAGGTGCAACAGCAAGGGACGAGGGAGGAGGGGACGGGAGGACGGGAGGACGAGACGAGCGGGAACGGAGCAACATAGGGTGGGTGGGAAGGACAGGAGAGACGGGACGAGCACGGGAGGGACGGCGAGACCAAACGTGAGACGGAGGTGTAGGGTCAGGGGACAGCGGAGGGGACACAGGAGGGGAACCAGGAGGAAGACGGGCCGGAGACGAGTCCGGCGGCGGGAACACAGCACCGTAGACAGGAAGGTCAGCAGGCGGTGGGGGAGACACCGGCGCGCGGTCCGGGGAGGGAAGCCCGAGCAGGCGGAGAGTGGAGACCGGCGGCGACGGCTGCTGCGGCGGCGGCGACGGCTGGGCCGGAACCCTTGGACCGGCAGACGCAGGACGACCGTCGGTAGAACACTCAACAGCAGCACTCCCAGAACCAACACCCCCAGAGCGAGAACCCCCTCCAACACCAGCGGCACCCCCAGAAGCCACAGGACGAACACCCTCCTCAACGCCAGCACCCCCAGGGGCCAAGAGCGGCGGCGGCAGTGGCGGCGACGACTTCGGCAGCGACGGCGACGGCGGCGGCGGCAGCGGCGGCGGCACCTGAGGCGGGGTCGGCGACTGCGACAGTGGAGGCGAAGACACCGGGAAAGGGGGACGTGGCAAGGACGGGCCGGGGGTACCACCAGAGTCAGCAGACTCCTCAACGGGGACAACCGACGGGAGGGGAGTGACGTGAGAGACACCAGACGGGGCAGGACGAGGCGGGAGAGGGGCAGGGGATACCGGGGGAGAGGGAGCAAGGAACAGGGGGGGGGGAACCGGGAGACCTCGGTGAGGGAAGCGACGGTAGAAGGAGACAGACTCGTCAAAGGTGACGTCACGAGAGTGGAGGAAGCGGTGAGACTGCGGGTGGTAGAAGAGCCAGTCAGACAAGTCCAAGGGGAAACCAAGGAAGACACAGGGGACAGTGCGGGCAGTGAGCTTGTCCGTGCCAGAGGCACGAGCGTGAGCAAGGCAGCCCCATACGTGGAACGCAGACGCGTCACCGGGGGACCCGGTCCAAAGGAGGGTCGGCGAAACCTGCGGCCGCTGGGAGCGTGGCCACAAGTTAAGCTGATGAGCAGCGTAGCGAACAGTGAACGGCCACAAAAAATGGGGGGCATCGGCATGAATCATGGAGGTACGGGCGACCTCCATGACCAAGCCGATGCGGTGCTCAGCACCCCCATTCTGCTGTGGCGAGTCCGGCAACGTGTACGACTGGGTGATGCCCTCCGCACGACAGAACTGTCCAAGCCGACCAGAGGCGAACTCGCCGCCACGGTCAGAGTGGAGACACAACACGGGGAGACCGCGGTGAAGACGCGCAGCTACGACCCACGGGAGAAGAACGTCGGGCACATCGGCCTTCCGCTCCAGGCGAAACACCGCGGTGTAGCGCGTGTAGTTGTCGACGAGCACAAGGAAGTAGCGCTCACCTCGCGGTCCGGGGACGGGGGCAGGGCCCCAAACGTCCAGGTGCAGGGTCTGAAGGGGAGCAGTAGCAGGGCGCAGCGAGGAGGAGTGAGGGGAGCGGCGGAGCCGGCCCTCGACGCAAGGCATGCACAGTGGCGCAGTCGAGGGAGGAAGGGCAGGGAGCGACGCGGGGAGACCTAAGACAAGACCGTGCTGGGACATGTAACGCAGACTTGGGAGTGTAGGGTGACGTAGGCGGTGGTGCCAGAGAAGGGACGGGTGAGTGAGGGATCGACACGAGCAAGCTGCAGCGACCTGGGAGGACGCACCAACCGGGGGGGAAGCGGTGTCTAGGGTGAACAGACCGGACACCGGGTCACGGGGGAACGTCGCAAGCAGGGAACCTGAGACAGACTCAGAACAGACTGCGAACCGCTCATGCCCGGGGAACGTGGTGGTGACGCCGAGGTCCTGAGACAGCCGACACCAACCAGGTTCCTCGAGAACGAGGGAACGTGGAGACTTGTAAGGGAGCCCGAGGGAACTGCTGGACAGGGAAGGGACGTAGAACTGCGAGCGACGACAGGACCCGCAGAGGGGTCAGCGAGAGAAACAACAGCAGGCGTAGCAAGCGGCATGAGCGCGGAGCGGTCGCGGAAGAAGCAGGCAGAGGCACCGGAGTCGAGAGTGAAGGACAGCGAAGCAGCGGCGGAGGCCGGGAAAGGAGCCGGTGCAGAGACTAGGCTAGGCAAACGAGGCAGTCCTACGCCTGACGCAGCAGGGGAGGCTAAGCTACACAATGGTGCAACACCTAAGCTAGAGTACACTGGGTAATAAGATCCAGCAACACTAGAAGCGTCAGAATACAAGGCATGCAAAGCAGCACCTATCTGATCCCAGTCTAACTCAAAGATCGGCACGCCCTAGCGGAGCAGGCTGTACCAGTCGGGGAGGTCCGG